GTAGATGAACTGGGACCCCGCAAGGGAGTGGAAGTTCGGATCAATTGGACTTTCAGAATTGTAGATACTATTTGGAACGGTGTAAACAAAATTGTTCTTTCCAAAGATTGCATGGAACCTATCACGTACTAGGTTGAATTGAGGCGTGTCAGGTAGGGACTCAGATAGACGAGTAGGTTTTGAATTCACCACCTGCTCCATGATCTCCTGTGCCAGCGCCAACATGGCAGGAGGAGCCTTATGCTCTGATGGTGCCTCTTTTCCTTGAAGCCTTGTTGCAACACGGCGTTCCAAGAACTTCGCAACCTCCAGTGGTGAGCTATTTGGAGCGAGAATTTCTTCAGATGCTTTCCCATTTTGAACCATGGTGGCTCGAGCCTGTGCAGGAAGTTTTCCAGCAGCGAGAGCCTTCCTTCTTCTTGTCATAGTCGGCCCAGAATAGTACAATTGCACTGTTGGTGAAATGGGATCTTAACAGATAAAAGAACAGTCGAACATGTCGGACAGTGAAGTCGGACATTCGTGATGTCGAACACGGACGGGAGTACAGTTTGAGTACTTACAGAAATGGATAAGTATTGAAGGTAGATCTAGATCTGTGACTAGTTTGTGAAGAACATGTGCGTATGTGCTTTATACGCCGCGACAGCTGGTGAGAGCTGACGCAGGTTGCTTCCGGAAGAGATTTTTTGTACCTGCTTGTGGAGATCATTGTTGATCGACTTCTGGCAAGAATAGCAGTAGAATAAGATCTAATAGGAAGTGGTGAGACTGTTCATCCGCAGGTAGAAGCCCAGCATCACTGGCACCTGTTCCTATTGTAGGCAATCCATAGCCGACGTAGATTTGAGCTCAGTATACTCCAGAGGTGGCTAGAGCGTTGAGGCTCTCATTACAGCTACGGAGTTGATTATCTGACAGTCGATCAACAAAGGTAACTTTTGAACATTGCAAAGTAGGAAGAACTACAGAGCAAGATGCCTGGTGGAAGAAACCAAGGCAGAGGCGGTCGAGGTGGCCGTGGAGGAAGATCTGCACAGCAGACTGGTCGAGGGTCTCACGGCAAGAAGGCCGAAAGACCGAAGCAATACCATCCTCACAATCCTGACTTTACTCATGGGCAGGTGACGATATACTTGCTTGAGGCTATTGCACTCAAGAGCTTGGACTACGCTCAAGATATGATCTGGAGTGTGAGAAATATGGCCCATGTGGACTTTGAGGCTCTACGAGGTACTCAGACGGTCTACAAGCCAGGAAAGAACGATTCCGAGTTCCACAAAAGTTCGAGACAGACTCAACTTGATAGGAACTGGGAACATCTAAATAACAAGATTGACAAGAGAGAGGTGATCTACAGCACGAACCAATACACCGTGGCTGCAATCATCACTAAGCACTTCATCACTCAAGCAATGAGAGATAAGTTAAGCAATGAAACTGATTGGTTGGACCTCAAGGAAGACCATGTGATGTTATTGAAGCGTATGAAGACGTTCATGACCATCACGGATGAGACCGAGTGGCAACACTTTGGACTCATGGAATCTCTCAAGAGATTCGCGAACTGCACTCAGAAGCAAAATGAGTCTGTGAACGATTACAGAAGGCGGTTCGAAGCTCAAGCTGACCAAGTATTCGAAATCCTTGGCACCGATGTGTTGCATGTCTATGCGACCAAAACAATGGGGTACCTGGATCTGTACGATCCGGAGGACGATCCGGACGATACCAAGGCCCTGCAAGAAACGTTCAAGAAAGAAGTTCTTGAAACATTTAAAGCAAGTGCATTTTTCTACAACTGCGACAGGACTCGCTTCCAGAGCATGTTGGACAAGGCGAACCAGACCTACGCCATGGAATTCAAGGAATACGATCAAAGAAACGAATACCCGACTACGATTGACCAGGTCGCAAAAGCGCTGATCAAACATAAGCCGGACAATCGAGGAAAAGGTCCAACGACACCGAAACATACTCCAAGAACAAACACAGCAAGCGGTAGTGTCCCTGACGGAGTGAGCAACGCACAAGCGAATGCTCGAACAACTGCTCGCACGACATCTTCACGACCGGCTTTTAGTTGCTGGTGTTGCGGAGATACTGGCCATGGGGTCACCCGTTGTCCCAAACGCTCCACGCGCCCACAAGCGGAATGGAACGACCCAGGACGATACAGCGACACACCCACTACTACTACTACTACTACTTCAAGACGATAGTGTCCCTGACGGAGTGAGCAACGCACAAGCGAATGCTCGAACAACTGCTCGCACAACATTTTCACGACCGGCTTTTAGTTGCTGGTGTTGCGGAGATACTGGCCATGGGGTCACCCGTTGTCCCGAACGCTCCACGCGCCCACAAGCGGAATGGAACGACCCAGGACGATACAGCGACACACCCACTACTACTACTACTACTACTACTACTACTTCAAGACGAGCGGGGAGAGCCAATCTCCAAGTCCCTGCGACTGCATCTGCGGCGCAGTCGGATGCCGCGTCTAGCGTCACGGGAACGCAAGCAACTGGTCAACAACATCGAAGCAATATGCAACGAGCTGTTGTTGACAGGAGTGGAAATGGCACTTCTGGTGCTACTGATGTACCCGGCTCTTATGTGGTACGAGGCAGATCTGTTGCTGATGGACGATCT